CCCCCAACAAACCATGTTTTAGAAAAAGATTACAATCACCTCGGAATACTGAGTCATGTTAGTCAGCCAAAATACCTACCACGATTAATGGTATTAAACAGGAATTCTCCTTTGTATCCTTTTAGCAAAAAAGGATGAAAATGTGAGAAAAAAGATGAAAACAAAGTTCAAGTATTTGTCAGAAAACAAGAAGTGGGTTGAGAAGTGTCAGCTGAATTTAGCAAAAGTGCTTTCCTTAGATCACTGATTTTGAACAAAACTAACTTTTAATTTATGCTGTCAAAATAGAAAGCTGAGAGCAGCGTATTGTACTCAGATGCATGCAGATCTATTAAGTTGTTACCAAAGCATAAATTAAATAAAAGGTACTAATATGTACCTTTAAGGTACTAATACATACCATTTATAAAGTGACGTGACATATGGCCAAGTATGGTTACCCATACTAGGAATTAGTACTCTGCATTTATCCCATCCTAAGTGCACACACACAGCAGTGAACACACACACACACACACACACACACACACACCCAGAGCAGTGGGCAGCCATTTATGCTGTGGCGCCTGGGGAGCAGTTGGGGGTTCGGTGCCTTGCTCAAGGGCACCTCAGTCGTGGTAGTGAAGGTGGAAAAGAGCGCTGTAAATTCACTCCCCCCACCTACAATTCTTGCCGGACCTGAGACTCAAACTCACAACTTTTGGGTTACGAGTCCAACTCTCTAACCATTAGGCCACGACTTCCCCTTTAGGGTAAATAAGGAACAAAAAACTTTTAGTTTTTGTACTCTAGGGTAGCCTACCACCCTAGTAATAGCTTTGTACCTTTTTTCCTGAGAGTGATCAAAAAAGATGTCACTTCTGTGTATTCTGTTTTTGTTTTTTTTCCACAGCTCACCCAGACCTAGTGATGACACTGAATACAGTCACTTTTTCCATTGGTCCTGGTCTGCTTGCAAGCCTGGAGTGTCATTGAGTGACATCAGTATTCCCGTCCAGGCCTGGGGACCCTTACTTGGAGCTAAACCCCTCTCAGCCATGCACCATAGATCTGTCACTGACATCACATGTCCTTATAACCAAGCAGCAGGCCACACAAACACAGACAGCAAACACAGGTAGGTCTCTGACTCTCATATGGGATAAATGATTATGCTGTTATGTTGACAGAAAACAATGAATACCTTTTAGACAGCTGTCAGACTGTATTCAAGGGCAGAATACTAACCCAACCCATGAAGCTTCCCTATATAGATTCAGTTACTTGTCAACAGTATAATATGACAGTGTATGTAAAGGTAATATCGTACATCAGATGGAATGGAATGGATAAAAATAGAGCTGAGTCTTACATTTTTTAAATAACGGTCATATTTATCATACTCCGAGTATTGTAAAAATCTTACTGCAGACACATTATTTGAATAAATGAAGATATCTATTCTTGCCCTCTCTTATAAATATTTCATTAATCTAATCACCATTCTTTATGAACTGAATAGAGGGCGTATATTTTTCATTTAGCCTCTGATAATAAAATATTACATTTTAAGAACTGTTCCATTCTCTCAAAGAGATTCTCTTTTTAACAGAATTGACTTCTGTTAATAGGATAAGAACCCTCCAAACCATGTAGTTCCTTTAATGCCAGTGTTTTTAGAAGTCAGGATGAATCTTTGTGTTAATATCTTTAGTTTGCTTACAACATTAATTTTTAGTGTAAATTTTAAATTACTACAAAATTTTAATTACTAAGAAACATCATTTTTTTAAATTAAAGTCAGCGTGGTGCCAGAGTTAGATTTTTTTTTTTTTTGATGGAAATGATGGACACAGAAAAGTTTTATAACATGAAATGTTTGAATATGGCCTCTATCAGTCATAACTTTCACGTTTAATTAAAATCAATTAAAATCTTTGGGAAAATACAACTACAAAGAAGATTAATATTCTATAATTATACAAGATTAATATTATATAAAATACATTTAATTGATCAAAAATGACAGTAAAGAATTGTATACTCACAAAAAAAATCGATTTATTTCAAAATAAATACTGGAAAAATACTAAGAAACACAACGGTGTATGTATATACACATATTGATTATTTTTAAATATTCGATTAATAAAAATGTATTTGATTATTAAAACATTTGAAATGATCAATTGTTCCATATTATGTGCATTTTATTATGTGCAATTTATTTTGTGATATCAATAATTTGATATAATTTCATAGCCTATAATTTACATGCTTTTTCCTTAGTGAAGTCAAAAATACCTCTTACCTTTAGAAAAAAAAAATGTTACAATATATTTTTATTTTGCATGTTGTTCATTCTGCTGCTATGTTCACACCTAATCACACCTCTGGCAACTGAATACTGTATTATGTAACAAAACAAATTCAAGTGGCGCCTCCGTGCTCCGAAGCTAAGAAGAACAACACACGAAGAGGAGGACCGAGACATTATATTCACTTGATTTAATAAGTTAGTTGCTAGCTGAACAACATTAAAACGATGAGAACACCTGGACTGAGCATCTGTGAATGACGGAACCGGCTCCGCCTAAATCCGTTGGGCTGGGAAGAGGAGGGGACGAACAGTCGACAAGGAGAGAGAGAGTGTGTGTCTGATAAAGGAGGGAGGAATTGCTGAAGAAACAGACCAACTACGATAAAACCCACAGAGCCACACCGGGGCTGAGATTATGACGTAGGCACGATCCTCGAGCGTTCAGCGCATCTATCGCGCTCCTCAGCAATTTAGTGAAGAGACTCGCCGGCGCGCGTGAAGCTCGGAAGCAGCTGCGCTCAAGCATCCTCGCCTTATTAAGTGCGTCGGTGACGAAAGCTATCGCGTGCGCGTAAATTCAGCACTTGGTTCACGAGACAGCCCCGGTGTGTCGGCTTCCCTAACTGGACTCAATTTCAAGAGCAGTTCTTTCAGTACTTTTTAGAACACTCTCGCACGCATGAACATTAGAAGAGTCATCATATTTCTTGCTTTCATCTAACTGCAATCCATAGTCTGGGACCTTCTCCACTAAATATGTACCAGGGGCATTTGCAGGTAAGACTCTGCTCACATAAAACGTACAATACTTTTCTTTACATTTATGATGGCTGTTATTTGAATTGTTTTAGTTGCACTGAAATCACTGGATTGCACTGGAAGCATGTTAGGTGCAATTCTTAAGTGATCAGTGCATATGCCAGAGCTTTATGAGTTAAACTGGGATTAAGTTGGGATTAGATTATTGCTTGCTGTTGATGTTTGTTGTGTTCATTAATTTTATTCCATGATATAAGATATATAAATGGCAGATAGGCTCTGAAATGGTGAGATATGCTATATTTAAGAAAATGCCAGTTTATGCATGAGTCATTAAGCAAACCAAAGAAATGTTAAACCAGTGCTGTTCATTTATCTTAAATGATGCAGATGCCAGTTGGACAAATTAAAAGGTAAAATAAGCTGTCTGCGAAAAAGAAAGAAAAGCAAGTTTCCAGTTACAAAACACTGGGATATAAACATTGCTTGTCGTGCTGCAGACTTACTGCTAAAAAATCACTCAGTTGCGCACTTTGTTGTAGTATCACCAATAGTAATTTACCCAACATTTTTTTTGTATCACCATGGGGAATAAAAAACAGGCCTACAGAGTTGAACTTGTAGAAGCAATCCATAAATCACATTGTGTGCAAAACGAGACACACGGGGCTCTTTTGAACCTCTATTCTTACTACAGCAACAATAGGATTTGATTGTTACTATTTTATGAAGATCTCTTAATTACGTAACTGCTAAATTAAAGCAGGCAGAGCTTTGTTTACCAAGTCTTAAAACTTCCAAGTAATTTACCAGCTGAATATTTTATGACTTCTTTTGCAGCTTCTTAGGAAACCAGAGTAGCTTTTTAATACCCTTTGTCTACGACAGATGTGGCTTCAGTTACCTTCATACCACTTAGATAGTGATTGACTTCACTATATTCGTTATATTTACCATCATTCTTTAGACTGACCACAGTTTCATACTTAGACACCTACTTATCCTTGCACCTATCTGCATACACATCTATGTAAAATGATGTACCATATGCAACATTGTACGAGTATAATTGTTCCGTTGTGTTATTAATGTTCCAGGAGACAGAAAATTGATGTGTTTTCAGCACAAAGGTAATCGGACACTTGATAAGAGTATCATATGGTCCTATTCATAACTGTTCTCATCATGTTAGAGGCTTTTATTTCAGGCTTTGGGGAGTTAGGGAGAGTAAGATATCACATTTTCTCTGTCAGGTAGGGAGGTAATTTAAGAGGAAATGTTCTGTCTGTGCAAAGCAGATGTTTTATCTGTCCTTCACTGGGCTCTTTGCAGCTCCTCCCCCCTAAACAGACACACTTATCTTGACAGTGACGGCTCATTCTCCCTTGAAGCCATCACAGAGTATATGCTGTTTACTGTTTCGCTCCATCGTTGGTGAAAAGATGAGTATTGCTTTTCTGCACAAGTGCTGCAATTTATATTGCAGGCAAACAGTTCGCATTTGCACATTATGTATAAATATACATAATTGCATTACCGCGAAGAGTTCAAATCAAATTTCTAAGCAATAATACATTGATACTTAAGTATACAAGGAAGTCAGAGTTGTTCAAAATGATCACACCTCCATTAACAGAATATGCTTTGCTGGTTTTTGCTGTTAAAAAAGAAAACTTGGATTTCAAAGTTTGTGAGTAGCTTTGCTGTATTAAACATCAGCATTTTACCACACTAGGGGGCATTGGAAATCAATATTTCACTCTGATCATTTTCATAGACCAAATTCCTTTTAGGGGTAGCGTGTAAGTTCTGTCGTTTCATCTTCAACAACACAATACGATTTGATAATATATGTAAAAAACAATAAATTAAGAATCAAAAAGGAGTCTAATACTCAATACTCTTCCTTCACAAAAACGCAGAGGGTTTGTTCTATCTTATATGACATATGACAGATTATCTGTGACAATCTGTGCATTGATAGTACCTGCAGATAAATATCAAAGTAGTTATTTTAAAGGTCATTTGACCCATTTAAACCAAATATATCAGCTCACACCTCAGATGTAACAACACGTGTTATAATTACTATAAATAACTCCAGTTGCTTGGGTGATTCCTGCCCTTTACAGCCGTACGGCTGTTTGAGATTAATTTGCAACGCAGTGTGTTGCGTTCTCTATCAAACATGGGCATCACAAAGAGTCCAAGTGCAGCTATCTGCGTGTGTAATGTGTCTATCTCACTCCGGCTATCACTGAAATGCACCACGCTGTCTGGCCAAGACAAAGCACCTTATGGGACGCTGGCCAAAAACTCCCGTGCCTTTTTACTTTTATATTACTTTAATTAGCAGAAGCATCTTCTGCATATTCAGGATTTAATGGAATGTATCTATACCTCTTTGCTCAGTTCAGGCTTTACTTGCCATTTTTGATCCAAAACCTGACATGTCTTTTTTTTAATCTCATTTTCAGAAAAGCTTATTTAGTGTCCGATTCCCTACAGGATGAAACCCCTGTTACAGAATCCAATTAAGAATCATTGGTGTCACAGTTCAATATTCTATTAGCGTATCTCAGTTCTTATTTCTGTAAATCAATTTAATGCTTTCATAAATGGCAGTATACAACCATACAACCCTGAAATTAACTAATAAATCAGTTTAATTATATGTATTATTATTTATAGGAGGCACTGAGACACTTCAGTGTTTGCAATGTTCCAGACTGTCAGTACACGTCCTGCTTTGGCTTTATTTGTACATATTTTGCTAGTGGAGCAAAATTAGACTATAATTGGCCAAACTGTGTGTAAAATGTAAGTTACTCATTCTTGGATTGTTTATAGAACTTTTAAAAAAGGGATGGATTGTATAAACTGTATACAAGCAATACCATACTTCCATTCATGGCTCAGTGCAAGGCTATTCTGGTTTTCTGAAAAATAGGTGTTATGCTGTATTTAAAAAAAAAAATTATATTTCCATTTATAACTATAAAAGAAAGGCAAGGTGAGGTACAATACTTCACTTAAAGTAATTTGTACTGCTGGCTAACAGTTGGCCATTACCCTCAATAGAGCCTCTGTATAGCATTTACTGTGCTCTATCAGCCTTTTTTCAAATATAAAATTATATATAAATGCAATGTTATCCTCCCATTTTCTAAATTGCCTGCCTAATGGGTATCTCATAGAGCTGCTGTGTTGTGTATAATCCCTTGGTGTAGCTTAGCCTTGTGAATAGAGTCTCTCTGATTTCCCACAGGTGTGCAGATACAGTCCTGTCAGATGTTTTCCTACCATGTGGCTTTGATAGGCTGACAGGCATGTGGTCTGTTGGCTTTTTCATGTTGCATCCCTGGCTTTGACAGTGATAGTGCTTTTGCCAAGGAGGTGAACAGCAGTTCATCTCGGGCTCAGAAAAAGAGATTGAGACATGCTTGTGTGACACCTCTGCGAGTGTGAAATATGCAGGCCCAGACTGCAGCACGCTGAGGCGAGGGGGGCTCACAGAGACCCTACAATTGTGACAGCTGTTGATTTATGTGAGAGGGTCTCAATATGACCTTTCAGGGCCTTTCCCAATAGAAACGCCTGAGAAAGAAAAAGACAGATAGATTTAGAGAGTCTCTATCCTGTGAATATTAATGTAATAAGCATAGATTAATCCTTCGTGGGCTAATGAAGGTTAGATAAATGGTGTTACAAGCAGTGCTGCTAAACACGTGATGAAATTACAAGCAAATTATAATAGCGCCCTGCTAGAAACAGCACACTTTAAAGAAATAGAACAGCTCTTAGTTAATTGTAAAAAAAAAAAAAAATCAAGAGATTTTTTTGTATATTGTAGCCAAACATCAATTCATGCAAATTTCAGCTCTACTCAAACATTTCTCTGAGGTTTAGGCTTTTACGAAATTAAAAGATGGCAGGTTCAGTCGCTAATGGATCTTGAAAGTGTTTACTTTCGAAAGAGATGAAATTTCTGTCATCTTCAAAAATGAAAATTCTGTCATCATTTACTCACCCCCATGTCATTTCAATATTGTATGCATTTCTCTCTTTTGTGGAGCGTAAACAAAGATACTGTATTACGAAGAATGTTGGTAACCAAACAGTTGTGGTTCCTTTTAACTCGTTGCATGGACAAAAAATCCAATAGAAGTCAATGGGAACCAAACCTGTCTGTAATCATTTACTCACCCTGATGTCGTTCCAAACATCCTTTATCTCTGGAACAATCATGTTTGTGTCACCATATTTAATTAAATTTGTATATGTGTGCTTTGATCAATGTTTTGGTTTGATTTTGAAATATCTCTGTTTATTATAAAAAAAAGACTGTGTGACTTTAGAAGACTTGCAATATAGCAGTTGAGTTGTATGGAGTATTTTCACGCTCCCTTTTTGTCTACTGTGGAAGTCAGTGGGCTCCAAAATTCTGAAGCTCTAAAAAGACAAACAGCTAAAACAGTTTTCAAAATATATCCTCATGTATTGCACAGAAGAAATGAATGTATATGAGTTTGGAATGACATGAGGATGAGCAAATCTGCATGTTTGGGTAATCTGTTCCTTTAAAAGAAAGATTATGGCTGATCTGTTAGTATCAACTTTTGATTCATTTGCAATGAAAAACATCATTCATTCATTGCTTTGTACACTGCATTTTACTAAAGTAGAGTGTCAGGCAAGCTGGTTTATTACACAAAGACTCAGACATCAATGTTAATGAAACATGTTTACATAGCTCAGCTGGTTCAGCATGGTTCATACAATGCCAAGGTCATGGTTCAGTTCCCACTGAACATGCATACTGCTAAAAAATGTATAGCTTGAGTGCAGTGTAAGTCACTTTGGTTGTGACACCTTGTGTGTTATGACCACCATAATGCTTTAATGCAGTATTTTAGCTTACACAATCAGTTTGTCTAGCTGTTGAGAGTGCATATGTCTCTCAGTATCCGTCACAATAATACTCAAATCCTGTTGATAAAGTCTGGGAGAAGGACAGT